ACATGTTAGTGAGGGACATGGTTTGTTTGGGCCAGCTTGGCCTAAAAGAACTATGCAACGTGTACATACAGCACCGTATTCCAGGTGTGAGCCGAGACCTTCCTGTCTCAGACCCGGAACACAAGAGAGTCCATCTAAACGGCGCTCAGCCACTTGTAGAAAACAATGTATTCTAGCAATGAATAAAAGCTTCCTCTGATTGGCTGAGTCAGAGGTTGTGACATCATCAGACTGCCTCTCTGACTCGGGAAGCTTTTGCATTCATTGATAGAATATATTGCTTTCTACGAGTGGCTGAGAGCCTCTCAGACAGAATCTCTTGTTTCGGGTCTGAGACAGGAAGGTCTCGGCTCACATCTGGAATACAGCCTCAGGTACATCCAGTTTATACAGCACATCCAGCGGCCTCACAGTGAGGGACATGGTTTGTTTGGGCCAGCTTGGCCTAAAAGAACTATGTAAAGTGTACCAAAAGCTGGAGTTTAGCTTTAAATCTAATATCGGAGTTCCTTTAGTTAGGCATTGTGGCCATGAAGGGAGCTTGGGAGTGCAGTAGCTGTGCTGATAGCGTTTATGTCTGGAGATTAAAGTGAGGTTTCCTCGAGTGCTCCATATAGTCAGCTGATTCAAAAAGTTGCTTCACTGCAATAAAAAGCAATTGAGCAAGAAATAAAGTAGTACTGTAAAAGCAGCCTGCCAGTAAAATGTGTAAAAAAAAACAAAACAAAAAAAACATATAGATGTAATTGTTTTGACACTTGTACAGAAAATGAGACGCAAGTCAGGTTACATGATACATTCGCAGCCACTCTAGTATCTGAAACTTTTACATTTTGTCCTTTTATTTTTCTGGATAAAGTTGTGATTGGGTTTAGTGGCTTTTCTTTTAAAGTTCTGTAACATTTTGCAGGTTTCTTAGTGGGCAGGGAATGCATCCACATCAGGAAGCTTCTGTTCATTTGCTCGACTCGCAGTGGCACCTAATTAATCCACAGAGAACAATCTGTTACAGATTAACTCAGCCTTTCAGGACTGCAGGACGTGTGACATTGGATAAGGTGTATATTAAACACAAAAAGTCAATCACAGTGTTTATCACAACAGTTGTTTAAGCCATTATAGTGTGACCTGATCAACTGTGCTTGCATGCGCTGCTGCCATCAAATACGGGTCCTGTCCTCTTCTCTTAGTAGTAATCGCTTTTTTTTTTTTTTTTTTTTCTGGAATCTAAGATGTTTTCCTGCAGTTTCAGCACTCAACATTTACCCTAGGTTCACACCAGAAGCGCAGTGCAGTCCATTTAATATGATTTCCTATGGGACAGGTTCACATCTCCTTGTTTTCACCCGGTGCATTTTTGGTAAGGGTCAGGGACTTTTTTTTTTTTTTTTTACGCAAAACATTGCGTTTTTGGTTTTATAGACCTCAATGGGAACGCTGCAGAAAAGTATGTAGTGAGTTTTTGATACATTTTTTTTTTGTGCTGCATTTTTTTTTTTTTAAATCTGCCTAGCAACAAGAAAAAAAACGCAAGGCTGAAATGCCGCAAATCCAACCTGAATAGGTGAACCTAGACTGGACATAAGGGGAAAAAAATTGGGACAGTTGGTATATATGAATAAATTGCCTCTAATAATGGATGCTGCATTAAAGAGTAAACCCAACATTTCCTATTCCTGATATGTGCCTGCTGTACCATGTACATGTATGAAAAAGTCTCCTGTTCTTTGTGTGAAATCCCTGCTTGTCCCTATGCTTTCCTATTAAAAACTGACCATACTAGGCATGAGAGCACAGCGGTTTCCATTTTCTAACTCAGCCTGCAATAATTATAGTTGTCCTTTACCAACAGCCCCACAACAGCATTTCACCTCAGGCATACAAAGATATTTATAATGTTTTTATATCTATACACAAAGGATTTGTCTTTCATTCCTATTTTAAACTAAATGGGCTGTTTTACAAGGTGAGGGTTTACAATCACGTTAAAGTGTTCCTAAACCCTGGTCCCTGCATTCACTATATCCAGTCTCCCTGGACCCTGCATTCACTATATCCAGTCTCCCCGGACCCTGCATTCACTATATCCGGTCTCCCGGACCCTGCATTCACTATATCTGCTCTCCCCGGACCCTGCATTCACTATATCTGCTCTCCCCGGACCCTGCATTCACTATATCTGCTCTCCCGGACCCTGCATTCACTATATCTGCTCTCCCCCTGGACCCTGCATTCACTATATCTGCTCTCCCCCGGACCCTGCATTCACTATATCTGCTCTCCCCGGACCCTGCATTCACTATATCTGCTCTCCCCTGGACCCTGCATTCACTATATCCGGTCTTACAGGACTCTGCATTCACTATATCCGGTCTCCCCGGACCCTGCATTCACTATATCTGGTCTCACAGGACCCTGCATTCACTATATCTGGTCTCCCCGGACCCTGCATTCACTATATCTGGTCTCCCCCGGACCCTGCATTCACTATATCTGGTCTCCCCTGGACCCTGCATTACTATATCTGGTCTCCCCCTGGACCCTGCATTCACTATATCTGGTCTCCCCCGGACCCTGCATTCACTATATCTGGTCTCCCCCGGACCCTGCATTCACTATATCTGGTCTCCCCCGGACCCTGCATTCACTATATCTGGTCTCCCCCGGACCCTGCATTCACTATATCTGGTCTCCCCCGGACCCTGCATTCATTATATCTGGTCTCCCCCGGACCCTGCATTCACTATATCTGGTCTCCCCGGACCCTGCATTCACTATATCTGGTCTCACAGGACTCTGCATTCACTATATCTGGTCTCCCCCGGACCCTGCATTCACTATATCTGGTCTCCCCCGGACCCTGCATTCACTATATCTGGTCTCCCCCGGACCCTGCATTCACTATATCTGGTCTCCCCCGGACCCTGCATTCACTATATCTGGTCTCCCCCGGACCCTGCATTCACTATATCTGGTCTCCCCCGGACCCTGCATTCACTATATCTGGTCTCCCCCGGACCCTGCATTCACTATATCTGGTCTCCCCCGGACCCTGCATTCACTATATCTGGTCTCCCCCGGACCCTGCATTCACTATATCTGGTCTCCCCGGACCCTGCATTCACTATATCTGTCTCCCCCGGACCCTGCATTCACTATATCTGGTCTCCCCCGGACCCTGCATTCACTATATCTGGTCTCCCCCGGACCCTGCATTCACTATATCTGGTCTCCCCGGACCCTGCATTCACTATATCTGGTCTCCCCCGGACCCTGCATTCACTATATCTGGTCTCCCCCGGACCCTGCATTCACTATATCTGGTCTCCCCCGGACCCTGCATTCACTATATCTGGTCTCCCCCGGACCCTGCATTCACTATATCTGGTCTCCTACAGTACACAGAAAATGGAAATGCAATTATTTTAGTAAATATAAACTGATAAATACCTTTTCCCATCAGCAGTTAGAGCAGTCTTGTGACTTCTATCAGTGTTCAGGCAAGCACTAGCTAAAGCTTGTAGGAGCAGTTTTCTTTCTGCTCTAGGAGGATGCAGGACCACTGACCCTCTGTCTGGACAGTGGTGATTGGCCCTATGCTTGTCTTATGCACTCTCCCAAGAAAAAAAAGAACAAAACCTCTTTAGCAATACACACCAAACTGAGCATGTGCAAAATGCCTACGGGTTCAGTCTATCAGGAGATAAGAGGCTTAAACAAGGGGAGGAACAGAGCGATCAGGATTAAACAGCGTTTTTACACAATGCGGAGGATTAACCCCTTAGGTTCCGCAGTGAGTATAACAAGCATGCTTTACTGCATCTACAGACTGATTGTACTGTTGTGGGTTTAGTAACCATGTAAGTAAACGTCTTAGTTTAATCCATTATGGACTCTACTGTAAGAGCACAACTCATACAGTGAAGGATAGTGTCACTCTCCAACTTCTTCCCTTGTCCATTCACAAAACTTCTTGCATTCTCTTCACAGAATACAAGGCACTCTGTGAATAGGCAAGGGGCTGGGGGGTGGTGAATGAATGCAACGATCTACCCTTGTCCATTCACAGAGTGCCTTGTATTCTGTGAAAATACTATGAAGATTTTTTTTGTCAATGGAAAAGGGGAGAGCAAGCAACACTAATACTGCACTGTATTTAAGACAGAAATGTCAGCTTTTGTGCCAGAAGGTTGCCTCTTAGTAACTTCCAGTATGAATTAAACAAAGCTTTTACCCCCCACAGCAGTCTACACATGGAACACGCGTTATTAGAGGTGATCTGTACATTGCAAATGTCCAAATATCTTTACTTTTTTTTTTCTTGGGAGTTCTGCTTTGCAGTATAAGTGCACCTATTGTGTATTGTCCGTTCATCTGGGTTATCAGAAGGGCATGTGGATGATCACCCAGACCAGATTAATCGATCGCCAAGTACTCATGTTGCTGAACTGATGTTTTGGGGGGATAACCCAAAATGCCAAATTTAATTTGCACAAACTACTAGCTGTAAAAGAAAACATTGTGATTATACGATCAAGCCACCAATTTGAAAAATGTTTGTATTGTGATGTGAAAACACGCACTCACTCTTTGTGCAGTCCTACATGTGTAAGGCAGCCATAGATGGATTGAATCTTGGCTGGTTCATCGGGGATGGGCAAGATTTGATTCATCTTTGGGCAGACTGGTTGTACTTAACTCGATCCATCAATCAAATTCAGTATAACGAGCCTGTTGGATTTGTTTTGCATGCGATTACTGCTGGCGGCTATAGCCGGTAACAGTGATCATTGTGTTCTGCTGGTCTGGAATGCTCCCCAATGGCAGAACACAATGGCGCTTCAGGAGTGATTCAGTCAGTGTTGGTGGGGGAACCATGCGATATTTCTTTTTTTGCAAACCGTAGTTGCAAGAAAGAAAATTGCCTAATCAATGGCTCGCCTTCGTTTGCTGCCGGGTCAGATGCTTTTTGCTGTGTTCAGTGTATACAACAGCATGCACTCACTATTAAGCACTGCAGCTCCACCCTATAGTAGAAATACTGCTAAAGGGGTGGCAGCTGTGCGCAAAACACACACACACCACACCACACACACACCACACACACACACAACACACCACACACACACACACACACACCACACACACACCCACACACACCCCACACACACACACACACACCCCACACACACACCCCACACACACACACCATCACACACACACACACACACGCCCCACACACACACACCACACACACACACCACACACCACACACACACACACACACACCCCACACACACACACACACACACACACACACACACACCACACACACCACACACACACCACACACACCACACACACACACACACACCACCACACACACACACACACCACACACACACACCACACACACACACACACACCACACACACCCCACACACACCTCACACACCCACACACACACACACACACCACACACACACCACACACACACCACACACACCACACACACCACACACACACACACACACACACACACCACACACACACACACACACACACACACACACACCACACACCACACACCACACACCACACACACACACCACACACACACACACACCACGCACACACCACACACACACACCACACACACACACACACCGCACACACCACACACACACCACCCACCCACACCACACACACACCCACCACCACACCACACACACCACACACACACACACCACACACACCACACCACACCACCCACCCACACCACACACACCACACACACACACCACACCACACACCAAACCACACACACACACTCACTTCTGGTTAGGGGGCTCCCCTAGTCGCTGCCGTGGCTGTCAATCACCAGGTTCCGACTGATGACTACTCACCGGCGCCAGGTGATTGCCGAGAATCTCCGGGGGAGGGGGGGGACACATACAGTTCTCCCTGTCAGCTCCCTGCACACTGCTGTGCATGGCTCTGCACTGCACAACCATGTAAATGCAAAGCAGTGTGCTTACAGTAAAAAACACACAAAAAGAAAAGCAAGTAAATCTGCACACAGTTAACCCTTTGATCGCCCCAGATAACCCCTTCCTGCCCAGTGCCATTAGTACAGTGTCAGTGCTTTCTATTAGCACTGATTACTGTATTGGTGTCACTGGGGATGTCAGTTCCCCCCCAGTGTCAGAATGCCCGCCGCAGTCCCGCTATAAGTCGCTGATCGCCACCATTACTAATAATAAAAAAAAATTCCAGTATATATACCGCCATTTGTAAACGCTATAACTTTCACGTAAACCAATTCATTTACACATATTGGGTTTTGTTTTTTTTTTTAGCAAAGACATGGAGCAGAATACATTTCTTTATGAAGAAATTTTGATTTTTTTTTTTTTTTTTTTTTTTTTGGACATTTTAAATAGCAAAAAGTCAAAAAAATTGGGGGTTTTTTTTTTCTCAAAATTGTCGGCCTTTTTTTTTAGTGCAAAAAATAACACAGGCGATCAAATACCACTGAAAGAAAGCTCTATTCGTGGGAAAAAAGGACGTAAATTTAATTTGAGTGCAGCGTTGCATGACCGCGCAATTGTCAAAGTACCGCAGCGCTGTAATGCAAAAACTGACCTCAGGAAGGGGGGGAAATCCTCCTGGAGGGCAAGTGGTTAAACACACAGCAGCTGTAGATGTGTGGGCAGCATATGTCTCAGAGTGCAATTCAGACAGTGCAGATTGCATTGTCTACCTTTATGGTTGTATATTCTGCTGGTTACAATTCTGTATAACACGTTTTTATGAAAATGTTAACTATCCTCTTTGTGAATTCACAGTGTGCCCTGGCGATGCACAGCGTTCCCTCTACAGCGAGTGCCACATGTCCGAAGAATGCTGGAACTGCAGGAGGGGAGAGCCCACTTCAACAAGAGAGAGAGAAACAAAAAGGAGAAGGACGAGCAAAAGGACAACACTGACAAAAGCACTTCACAGAAAAATATACGGAGCCATCTGAAAACCCCCAGTCCTCCTAAGAACCTGGCAAGCCCCACTGCTTCTGTGACTGTGAGCTCCGGATCTCTGTCAATGCATTCCAGTAACCCCAAAGTGCGCAACTCCCCATCAGGAAATACACAGAGGTAGGTAGGCTTTGCCCACACGTGCATCTGTGTGCTGCTGGATCCCAAAGAGGATACATGTTTCTGGGATAAATATGTGGAAGTGTTCTGAATCTCTGAAAAGAAACATTTCGGACAGTGTGTGCTTACCTCTCCAGAGGAGCTTTGGACAGAGATACAGGAGATGGATGGATGATGCTTAAAGTATGGGCAGATATTACCCATGTGTTACTCAAACTACCATCTCATATTTTTTTTTTCTTCAACCCTGTTCCTGTAGGAGAAACCGCTTTTATTGCTTCTTGTACATCACCAAACTTGTAAGATTCTTGCAGGGACAGCTGCAAGTTTCT